TCTGTCTGTCTGTCTGTCTGTCTGTCTGTCTGTCTGTCTGTCTGTCTGTCTGTCTGTCTGTCTGTCTGTCTGTCTGTCTGTCTGTCTGTCTGTCTGTCTGTCTGTCTTAACTCTCTCAAGAAAAGGAGTGACAGACATTTCACTTGGTTTACCAAGCCTTTTCTCACCTTTTTTCTCTCCCATATAGGAAACAGATACTGTGAGGAAACACTCTAATTTTACCTGCAGAGGCTCTTGATGAGATGTGCTGCAGTCCTGCTGATTGTTTTGGGGAACTCTAGCTCATCTATTCCCTTCAGAACTGCTGTATAAACCTTCAGCTGCTCAGAGCCAGAGAACAGGGGGCTGGAAATTGAAAATTAAATGTAACATTTAAAACATGTTCAGCAATGAAGGCCTAGCAGATGAGATGCAGGGTTTTAAGTTCATAGATTATTTTTTTCATTAAAAGCACACTTTTTAATTTAGGTATAAATGTTAAAATATCTAATATATAAATATATATATATATAAAATATATGTTTGAAGTTGGACTGTTTTAAATTTTTTTTGGAGTGGATGAATGTGTTGTTATGTAACCCAGTTTCTGGTAGTAAAGAGTTGTGTTCCTCTCATGTTGCTTCCTGTATTTTTGCACTGATACCAAGCAAAAGAAACCGGAATTTCTTCAAGGTACAGTACTCATGTTATGATCAGTCTCGCCCCTTCCATGTGTAATGTTTAAGGGAATAATTCACCCAAAAGTGCTTTATATGATAACTAGATTTAATTTAGGCTTTTATTAATATATTAACATTTATTAATGCACATACATAGAGCCCATCATATATGGTACCAAGAGAAGCTCAGCTGTGCTTGCTTGTCACGCAAGAACAAACATCACTGGTTTGCCACATTTTTAATGTGCTCTATGATCAATGTTTATATGTGAATACAAACCTAAATTAAAACTGAAAGAATTATGTCAGAATTTGTTATTCTTTTTAAACATTTATTTGTAGTGCTGCCCACTTTCTTGCTAAACTTCAATTCTAAATACTGTATGTTAACTGTTACTAGTTTTCCCATTTTTTAATGCATGCTGAAGAACAAGCATTAAAAAAAATTACTATGTGTAAAAGATTTCTTTTAAATCACTCAGACTAAAGCTACAAATAAACCCAGTGTTTCAGTTTATTTATAAATGTCACCTTTTTGTTCTGTGCACTACATTTTGTTGGATTTTTGTCTTTGAGAATAGTGTGCAGTCTTTTTTGCTATTTTTATTTAAAAACCATTACATTACTTGATGCTTATATATAAACCTACAATAGTCAACTGTACCATTGTGTACTGCCTTTGCAAAATCACAAAAAATAAAAAAGCAAGACAAGACGTCTAAAGATCCCTCACCTGCCATTGAGCAGTTCATACAGCAACATCCCTAGAGCCCAGAGATCTGCAGACAGACCGTGACCTTGATGCAGAATGACCTCTGGAGGCTGATAACCCACAGATCCACAGAATGACCAAGCTCTGTGCAAAGAGCCCAGCTTCTTAGCACAACCAAACCCTGTCTGATAGAGTGAGAAACACAACTGAAGTGTTATAATAGTTAAAATTACCAAACATGAATCATCACAATCAAGTAGTTACAGGCTGCCAACTGGTTTAACTTTAAACATAAACTTTGGATTTGTATGTATTCAGCACCAGTTTAGCATATCCTCGCTGGTCCAGTAGCACATTTTCAGGTTTCAGGTCTCTGTGAACAATGTCTTTGGTGTGAAGTACATGAAGAGCTTCCAGCACAGACGCTGCGTAGAAGCGAACAGCGTCGTCTTCCAGTGGCCCCCTGAAACATCAAATCACATAGTAGTCAGTCACTGTTCAGTTCAGTTCATAAGATGACATATTCACTGTAGCATTTAGTCTTTACATGTTTTATTTGTGTAAATTTTTAGCTAAATGCTTTCAGGCTATATAGATTAGGTATAAATTCCTTAAAATGTGAGATTTACTCCAGATAATGTCCTTCCTTACTGTTAAGTGATTTACAAACACTTTGCGGCCAAATCACTCAAAAGAATCAGTTGAGAAGATTTGTATGCATATATCGCTGTATGTATGCTGAGATGCTGAGACAGTATGTACCTCTCTCTCAGTAAATTCCACAGATCTCCACCTTCACAAGCCTCCATCAGCATATACAGGCACCGATCATCTTTATACGTGCAATGCAACCTGACAAAAAATATAAAACGTTTAAATCTTACAGTCTAACACAACATCATTTGGGGGCATAAGATTGGTTTAATTGAAATTAATGTTTTTTTTTTCAGCAAGAATGGATTAAATTGATCAAATGTGATGTAAAGACTTTTACATTCTTAAAAAAATATTTAAAATAAATGATGTTGTTTTGAATTTTCGATTTATCACATAATCCTGAAAAAAGAAATCATCATAGCTTCCACAAAAAACATTAAGCAGCACAACTGTTTTCAACAATTATAATAAGAATGGTTTCTTTAGTACCAAATCAGCATATTAGACTGATTTCTGAAGGATCATGTGACACTGAAGACTGGAGTAATTTTGCAGAAAATTCAGCTTTACACCAAAGGAAAAAAAATTAATTTCAAAATGTATTAAAATAGAAAACACTTATTTTAAATTGTAATAATATTTCACAATATTTTAGATTTTACTGTATTTTTGAAAATAAAAGCAAGCAAGAGGCTTTTTAAAATCACAAAAATCTTACCAACCCCAAACTTCTGAGCTTGTACAATAGTGTATCTAATAAAGAATACAACTGCTTAAAAAGGATTTAATTAAATGCAAAATGGGTTTTATTGCCTGATTTCACTGGAAAACCATTTCACACATCATTCCACAAAGAACCTTTAATAATCTAGTTTTTAGAAACCATCTTCTGTATGTGCTGGCGCTTTAGAACTCAGAAACAAATTTGATGAACCTTTAATGAAACATTAAGAACTTTCTCCAAAGACGCGGTCCTGTTCCTCGAGGGCCAACGTCCTGCAGAGTTTAGCTCCAACCCCAATTAAACACACAAACAAGTGTGTTGGAGCTGAGCTCTGCAGGACGTTGGCCCTCCAGGAGCAGGATTGGACGCCCATGTCCTATGGTGTCCTAATGGTCTGACCTTACTATAAATGGACTTTGGAGATCCATCAGGATGTGTTTCTCTGCACGTATCCTCTCTCTTTGGCCTGGGCTCTGTATCACCTGTTTTCTTATGGTCTTCAATGCAAACTTACAGCTGGAGTCACTCTTCAAATGGACCTAGTGACAAAAACATTGGCTGAATTATAATTACTACATAGAACTTTGTTTTGTAAATTAAAATACGTTTAAACTGCAGGGCTAGTTTATGATGCACATCGTACAATACTCATTGAAAACTTACGAGCTGAGTGTGACCGTACTGTCCTTCCTCCAGATTACACAGCACCTGAAAACTGCAGAGAGACGTTTCACCAAACGCAGACCCATCTTCATCTGCCCTGTTTATTATACAGAGATCAAAATGACCTCCATTAACCATCACACTTAGTGGTTCATTTAAAGCATGCAGACTTCCAAGTCATATTAACAGAACTTACTTCAATCTGGCCTTGTTGGTAGGATTTTCTCTGGCATCGTCCAAGCCTCCAGTTACTTTTTTGAAAACCCTGGATATAGATGGTGGAATGCAGCCAAGGTCAGCTTTACAGCATAAGTTTGAATTAGTTATGTTTTTTTCCCCCCACTATGCTGTTACCATAGAATGAATATCCATTTATCCCTCACGGCTCACACTTACTCTCTGTCTATGACCAAACATGTCACATCGCCTGCGGCAAGTGCACTCATTGTCCTCTCGTCATCTCTGAAGAGCAAAGGAACAGGTCTGAGATGTTAATGTTACATGATACCTTCTGACTTGAATTCCAATGGTCCTCAGTGAAGCCACAAAGCATTCAACACGCACAAGTTTGCAGTTCTCTTGTTTAGAGCTTCTGGGGAAGTTAGAACAATGGTTCACAACCTACAGTACATTACATAAGTGATCTAATATATATATATATATATGCTACTCTTTTGTTAATAAACATGGTTGTTGTGAATTTCTTTGGTCCTACACAAACATTTAACAACAAATATCATAATCAAAGTTGTTTTGTTAGATCAGAATAGGTAGTAAGCTGCGATGTAAATCTCAAAGAGTGGCGCACCCTGCTGGTGAGGGTTGAATCTTACCCTCTCTCTACAAAACAATCCCCTCTGGTGAGGACAGACGCCATTATACTCTCCTCACTGGCTGAGTGTTTCTCTAATACTTTCACCTAAGAACAAAAGCATGAACACTGTTATGCTTTTACTGTACTACATAGTAAAAGATAGATAGACAGACAGACAGACAGACAGACAGACAGACAGACAGATAGATAGATAGACGGATAGATAGATTAATGGATGTTGGATAGACAGACAGACAGACAGACAGACAGAGGTAACGATAGATGGATGGATGGATGGATAGATAAATAGATAGATAGACAGACAGACAGACATAGATAGATAGATAACGTGAGCAGACAGACAGACAGATATCTATATAGCATGAGCAGATAGATAGACAGACAGACAGACAGATAGATAGATATCTATATAGCTTGAGCAGATAGATAGATAGATAGATAGTCAGCGTGAGCAGATAGACAGACAGACACAGATAGATAGATAGATAGACAGACAGACAGACATAGATAGATAGATAACGTGAGCAGACAGACAGACAGATATCTATATAGCATGAGCAGATAGATAGACAGACAGACAGATAGATAGATATCTATATAGCTTGAGCAGATAGATAGATAGATAGATAGATAGATAGATAGATAGATAGATAGATAGATAGATAGATAGATAGATAGATAGATAGATAGATAGATAGATAGAATTATAACATAAGAACACACCGTGGAGAAAAACATGGTAAATAAGTAGATGGCTGCCTCGACGTGGTAGCCTCTGTAAAGTCCTACGATGATGGGTGGGATGAAGAAAAAGTTACTGAGGGTGAGGAGCAGAGCCGCAGCCATCTGCCGGGAGTACGACTGCGCAGTTGCTCCATCCGTACAGCCCCATCCCTGCCAACCTGTCAACAGCAAACAGTAACAAACTCAGTAGCTTTAATTATTTATGATTTATGGCCAGTTGTTTGCATGTGTGTTTGTTTACCTGCTTTGCACACACATGCGCCATAGAGGTAGCTGTGCGTGCGTAGCAGTCTGCATTCTCCATATGGTCCACAGTCATCAATGCACGCACTCACACTCACAGACGCACTCACTATCGCGGATGTGTTCCTGCAGTTGACACTGGAAGGACAACACAGGACCATAAATAATGCTCAGAAGGTGCTTTAGGAATGTCTGTAGTCATACAATATAAATGTATAGGACAGGTCTATCTTATTGTGTGTGCTAGTTCCGCACTGAATTTGCACAACTAACCTATCATTGCACATGATCTGGAGGCTGAGGTACCACACTGCTGCATCTGGAAACGGAATCCTCAACAGTGCCTGTGATTCATTGCTGCTCACGCTCAGAGAATAGCCCTGCATAAGCCCTGCATGCACACATACGCAGAGAGCTTCAAATGTGACATGCAGGAGAATAGTAAACATGCATTGCACAAATTTTAATGCGACTAACCTGTAGCACAAGTCTGGCTGAGGTTGACATGAAGTACAGGAGCAGAAGGTGTGAGACATGCTTTGACATGAGCAAATCCACCAACCAGAGAACTCTATGCCACAAACACAAGAAGAAATTTTTTAAAATCTATATTACAACACAATATGAATAAAAAATACACTGATACAAATGCAATATACCTAGTATAATATAAAGTTACTAGGATGACTGGGTCACAAGTCATTATTGATATCACAGTGGTTGTAGTGAATATGCTGTGCTCAAATAAAAGCCACAAGAGGCTGATATATATATATATATATATATATATATATACATACAGTCGATACAATTTGATACACTGATCAATAGTGAGAGTAAAGTCATGTATAATGTTTAAAATCTTCTTTTAAAAAAAATGCTGTTCTTTTAAAGTTTTCTATTCATCAAAGAATCCTGAAAAAAATATATCACAGTTTCCACTAAAATATTAAATCAGCCCAACAGTTAAATGTGGGCTGCTGAAAAATAAGCTTCGCCATCACAGAAATAAATTACATTTTAAAATACATCCAAATAAAAAAGTTATATAAATTGTAATAATATTTCACAATTTTAATGTTTTTATTTGATATTTTATTAAATAAATGCTGCCTTGGTGAGCACAAAAGACTTCTTTCAAAATCATTCAAAAATCTCCCCCGACAACATTATATTATATTCTTACAGTGTTCAAGTCGAGCTGTACAACAAACGTGCCGCCACTGTCACCAGGAGAGTGTTCAAGTGTGAGCACAGTGGGAAGGTCTGAGGTCACGGTTAGGTTGCTGCTGGAAACGATGAAGCGTAGAGATAGCACATCCTGTTCATCTCTGAACACTGAAGGGCTTCTCATGCACACTGGCTCAGAGCTGTTAGCACGGAGGCCCGGTTGGTCTCTCATGGAAACGGATGTGTTACTGAGGCCACCTGAGCTGTTGCTTTGGGGAGCAATGATGGTACGAATGAAGGCTGAGGTGTTGAAATCTGAAGAGACGCTCAAAGGTTTACATCCCACTGTGTGTATGAAGTGAAAGAGGAGAGAAAGACATTTAAGAATCAAGCAATAACTGGCAAAATAATTTAATTAAAGTGATAGATTAATCAAAACAAACCTGTGACATTGGCAGAGATGCTGAAAGGTATGGTGGTGTTTGGTTGACTAGTCTCAACCGTAACCAGCAACCAGCTGTTCCACGGGGGAATGAGGACCGATGTGGAGCAGCTCTCTAACCCTGAACAGTTCTGTTTCACCTCTGAGCCCTGCCTCAAAGTGCTGGAGCCTACAGTGATTGACAGCCTGCAATCATTTACCAGCTTTACAGAACAGTTCAAGATGAAAACATCCAACCTGGAGGAGAACTCTGGAACAAAGACTCTAAACAGAAAAGGTACAAAAGATTTCAACAAAAACTATTTTTTTTTTTTTTTTTACATACATACATACTGTACATACATATACATATATTGGGGGAGTCGTGGCCTAATGGTTAGAGAGTCGGACTCATAACCCAAAGGTTGTGGGTTCGAGTCTCGTGCCGGCAGGGATTGTAGGTGGGGGGAGTGAATGTACAGCGCTCTCTCCCACCTTCAATACCACGACTGAGGTGCCCTTGAGCAAGGCACTGAACCCCCAACTGCTCCCCGGGCGCCGCAGCAAAAATGGCTGCCCACTGCTCCGGGTGTGTGTTCACGGTTTGTGTGTGTTCACTGCTGTGTGTGTGCACTTTGGATGGGTAAATGCAGAGCACTAATTCTGAGTATGGGTCACCACACTTGGCCACATGTCACGTCACTTTTTTATATATACACTACCAGTCATATATGGTAGTGTATATACAGTAAATACAATTTTGAAATGTTTTTGCTATTTAAAATAACTGTTTTCTATTTGAATATATTTTAAAATGTAATTTATTCCTGTGATTTCAAAGCTGAATTTTTAGCATCATTACTCAAGTCACATGATTCTTCAGAAATCGTTCTAATATTCTGATTTGCTGCTCAAAAAAACATTTATTATTATTATGTTGAAAACAGCCGAGTAGATTTTTTTTCAGGTTACTTTGATGAACAGAAAGTTCAGAAGAACAGCATTTATCTGAAATCGAAATCTTTTGTAACATTATAAATGTCTTTATCATCCCTTTTGATCAATTTAAAGCATCCTTGCTAAATAAAAGTATCTCTATAATTTCTTTCCCCCCAAAAAATTATACTGACTCCAAGCTTTTGAATGGTATAGTGTATAATGTTACAAAAGCTTTTTATTTCAGATAAATGCTGACCTTTGGATCTTTCTGTTCGTCAAAGAATCCTGAAAAAAGTTTACACAACTTTTTAAAATATTGATAATAATAATAAAAAAATGTTTCTTGAACAGCAAAGCAGCATATTAGAATGATTTCTGAAGGATCATGTGACACTGAAGACTGGAGTAATGATGCTGAAAATTTAGCTTTGATCACAGAAATAAATTACATTTTAAAATATATTCAAATAGAAAGCAGTTATTTTAAATAGTAAAAATATTTCATAATATTACTGCTTTTGCTATATCAATCAAATAATTGCAGGCTTGGTGAGCAGAAGAGAATTCTTTAAAAAACATAAAAAATCTTACAGTTCAAAAACTTTGGACTGGTAGTTCATACATATATAACAAACAACATATTCTACTTAATACAAACACATGAACAGAGATCATACTTAAACAGAGCTGGAGTTGTAGTTAGTGTTTGATAGAGCGGAATGTTGTGCTGCAGGATTGGCAGGTCAGCAGCTCTCCTTAAATACATCTGTGCCTGAAATAGGTATGAGCAAGACGGCAGTCCCTAAAACAGAAAGCAACAAACAATCACACATTTACTTCTACTGTTCTTAAAAAAATAATAATTCAGCTTTTGCATCCCAGGAATAAATTACATTATAAAATATATTAAAATACAAAATTAGTTATTTTAAATTGTAATAATATTTCACAATGGCCCTGTCCCAAATGTCACCTTAAACCCTCGCGGTCTTACTCTGAGTCCGCACTTTCGTGACATAATGCCGCTTTGACTGTCAGGTAGAAGTCTGCTGCGGAGCTTGCCCCAGTGTGGGCTCAGCAGAAGTGCGGATCGAGGGCGCATAACGGCCTCAAAGGGGACAGTCGCGAGCATCCTTCTGAATGCTTAAATGACAAATGGGACACCCTACGGTCTCGTGGACTTAACGGACACGCGGCAGCCATTGTAAGTCCGTAAGACACAACGCAAGTGCACACAAAGTGTTCCATTTGGGACAGGGCCAATATTACTGTTTTTTGGTATTTTTAATTAAATACAAGCTAATGTATTGATCTAGAAAGTTTTCACATTTATATAGGTAATCCTTCGATATATATATATATATATATGTCTAAAAAAACAAAAAAAATTATACATATATATATATATATATTTAGGGATGTAACGGTATGAAAATTTCTTATCACGATTATAGTGACCAAAATAATCACGGTTATCAGTATTATCACAGTATTGTTAAAATGTGCTGGAGGTGTTCAAAAAGTACTGACACATAAATCACTTCACCAAGTTTTATATTTAAAAATCAACAAAAAA